AAACCATTAAATAGAATCGAATGTGGTTCTATTAGGAAACTTGATCGATTTCAATGAAACAGAGCAACTGATTCTAATATGTCGTTTAATTTTCGCAAAAAGCCAATCATATCAACCGCAACGGCGCTTGAGAGTTTGTAGCGCGCTATAGGGAGTGTACAGCCGAAGTGGAGTACCCCGCAATGACTAACATAAGACTCCTGATGAGATCTTTGATGAGATCAGAGAGGAGTATAAGACGTCCAAAAATAAGGCAGACAAGAAGGAAATGATGCTCGAAATTGAGCAAATAAAGGGAACTCAAGTCTACACTCTATGATGGCCGAAGCGGGCGAGCTCGGCTTGGTGCTTGCTGCACACCTTGACGAGGCAAAGTGTGCAAGAGACAGATGTGAAATTGGGGTGTACTACGCAAAAAGCCTAAAGGCTACAAGAACTTACCTTAAAGGAGAACACCACCACTCCCAAATCAGACCACCGCTCCTCAACAAGGGTTCTGAGCAAGGCCCAAACAGCCATAATAGGACTCTCTCAGTGCATAACGCATCACAGTCCATCAAGCGCATAAACCCGCCAAGAGGTTGTCGCTACGTCGGACCTCCTCATGCGTCTCTGCCCAAATTCTATGAGGACACGGAACACGTCCAGTTGGTGGGCATATTGACAGTTTTGAAAGTCACATAGCGACTGCAAAGGTGGGCTTTGCGTTGAAAGAAACTCGACTTGAGGATCCAACAAAACCAATGCTTACAGGTCTGGCTTGCTGGACTGGACTTCCCAGCGTCAAACTCCTAGTACAGATATTAAATTTCTGTAAGAAAAGAATGTCTGCTTGGCCAACCCAAAGCTTCGCGGGAACACCAACGTCCTTCCATTTTAATCATTACCAGAAATCGTTTCGGGGAATTTTTACGAGCTTTGCATTTGGAAATGCTAATAGCGAACGTCTTTTCAGAACATCTCGTTTTTTGAAGCTGTTCAACGAATGAAAAATTCACCAAGGTAATGTACCCCTTCGAAAAAAACACCTTTACATCTGCAAAATACTCGAAATAAATAAATAATAAAACTCGAAATATTGAGTCGGGCTCCATGGCGAAAACGCCCTCAGGTTTTCATTTTGCAAAGACAATATTTGGGCCTACCTTGTACGGTAAAGGGTTACTTTCAGAAGAAGTCACTGAACCCAAAGTATGTTATGAAATGACAGCAACTACGAACATTTGTAATCCCTTCATGTCAGGCAATAATGGCCTGACAGCAGCTAATAGCAAAAGTTCACCAAGTAAAAGTTATGTATTTGAAGCGCCTACGAGTCAGCTCATACGCAAAAATTTTGCAAAAGGAAGATCAAGAAGCTCTAAAGCGTCAAATAGAAGCAAGTATCGATTTCGCTTATATCGATCGATCATAGAATCGTTCCTACGGAATTCAACGCATGCCAGGGGACCATACAACAAACGATTAAATCTCAAAAGTCCAATCCGTGCACAGAACATTTCCACAGGCTCCTTACGGAACACGTCCTTAACATTACCCTTTATCTCACTGCTGTGACCCTTAGCAGACCCAGTGATCGTTTCGCTCACCAGGCAGAAGATGAAACTATCAATTATGAGCTCTACAACTTTATAATTGCGGGAAATTAACCATACTGACCCATACCGTGTTGGCAAATCATAAAAGGGGAGCGGATAACAAGGCATTAACGTGGGGGGACGCCCTTGCCTCCGTAATAACCATATTCATGATTTATCAGTCGAAAAAATAAAAGCAAAAAAA